TTTTTTTTTTTTTTTTTTTTTTTTTTTTTTTTTTTTTTTTTTTTTTTTTTTAGGAACGCCGCAAGCTGAGTTAGAGCGCGCGATGGCATGTGTTTTGAAGTTGGTGTCTCTGTGGTTATTTTTAATTTTATTTATTTATTTTCCCAATCGCTCTATTAGATTCCCCCTCGAGTTGTGCACGACTGACGCTCTTCGTGCCGCGCGTGCCTCTCCCATTTCTACGCGTTCGCGCGAATATGGCGACCCACGCGAGTCATGCGACCGTTTCGTTGACGTCTTTACCCACGCGGTTCTTGACATTTTCATTTAACGTCCGACGAGCTTCTGCGAGCCTTTCAGACAATTCGAACAACACGCATGAGTGTTGACAAACAACATCAAAATTGCAGAAAAACTGTAAGTTCACGGAGAATCTTGCAGAATACCAACGAAGCGATCGCAGCAGCAGTAACAGTTTCACGGCGATATCGATTGAAAACACTACCCCTGAGTTTTGGAGAACTCTCGAGCTTCAGCTTGGAACCGGCGGCTTCGTTCCGTGTTTCGGTCGCGTGCGAGCAGCCCGCAGGTGCAAGACGCGCGCGCGCGCGTACCTGAAGCGCGTGTTGCACCTGAATCGCCCTGAATTATCACGTGCAAGAGATTCTCGCTCACTCGGCGGGACGCGCGTGCTCAGTACGAAGTCGTTTTATTCAAAACGGCCGTAGAGCCTCACGCTCACGCGTCCAGGGTGGTACCGGAGAACGCTCAGAGCGATTGTCGACGAGGGTGGACGTGTGTGGTGGTGGTTTGGCGGAGAGCGCGAGCGCGCACGAGAAGCAACGAGGGCCGAGCTCGCCGAAGGGGTCTAAGAATCCATCAACGAAACTGGTAATCAGCTGGGGCTAGCACGAACCACTTTCAGGGATCCAATCTCGCCGGAGTTTTGCTCACCCGCTCTCTCCTTCTCCTCCTCTTCCTCATCCTCCTTTTCTTGCACCTTCCCCCGTTCTTTCCCGACATTTCTTGCATCTTTCTTCCCTCCCTCATTCTGTGCAAGTGCGATACGTGCGGCCGGTACACCCACGTCGTTCACCGACCGATTCCCATCGCCGCGAGTTCGTTCAATTTTTGTGAGTGATCGCTTGTACCCGCAGCCGTTGGACGCGTCTAAAAACCGTCCTGTCGGCGGAATAGAACGTGTCGCGACATCTGATTAGAAATTTATCCCATTATCCCGATCACAGTTAATCTCAAACAGTTAGTTCCCAATCCCAATCTAGTTAGTTTAAGATTACTGAATTCTATTTAAAGTCTTAATTATTAATAATTCTCATTATTAAACAACGTGCCACGCTGCATCACGCATCAGGACCCTGTAACGTCATCTTGTACAAACTAGATAACTGTACTTGGGACCATACCGATCAGGATCACGAGATAAAGGACCCCGCACAAAACCTATGGAAAATGATTTTCGGTCAAATTGGCTGAAATTTCATTATGTTATAGTTTTCGCCATGCTGATAAAAAGTTATCATTGCACCAAGTCCCAAAAGTCAATATTTCCCAAGATATAAAGGGTCAAAGTAGTGAAATATGGTATAAGTGATAAGTTGATATTTATTCACGAAATAAATAAAAATCGATTTTTACA